GAAGGAGTGCAGAGTGGAGCAGGAAGTCCCTAAAGGCCACCAGACTGTCCCTCCTGGGGAGGCTGGGCCTGCGGGTGCTGGCTGTTTTGGAAAACAGTGGGCCTGGCCAAGCACGAGGGGCAGCCGCCGGGGGTGGCTGCCTGGAGCCGAGGTCCCTGAAGCCTCTCGCTGTGACGTTGGCCTGAGCCTGGCTGTGCCGGCTGTACGGCCCCTGGGACTCATACCCAGGCCTGCCCCGGGGTTCCCTGGGGAGGGGCCCAGCCTGCCAGTCGGACCTCTAAGAGTCTGTCTGTCCCGCCTGTGGCCCTCCAGCAGCCCCTGGGGACCACGGGGGTCAGGCCTTGGGTGGGCACTGAGGTGCCCCCACCTCTGAAAGAGAACACGGGGAGGAATCCCCCTGCCCCTGCGGAGGGTGGCAGGAGTGAGGGGCTGTGAGCCAACCCCAGCTGGGGCCTGCTGGGCGCCCTGAGGCCCACCTGCCCGGCCACCAGGCCTGCACCTCTCAGGCGGCAGGTGCTGCCTAGGCCAGGGCTCCGCCGAGGGCGGGCAGTGCCAGCCCCTCCTGCGAGGGCCACCTCCGGAAACACTGCCCTCTGCACGGCAGGCAGCAGCCCGGTGGGTGCAGAGGCTCCTGCTCGGCCTGGCCCGGTGCCCCGCAGAGGCGCGGGGAGGCCTGAGACTCTTGCTGCATTTGGACAAAATGATCTGCTCTTGTCACCTTCGAAAACGACGGAAAAGGACAAGGGAGGGAGGGCCCCGAACGGGCCTGCTGTGGCCTGAGCACCGGCCAGGGGGTGGGCTGCTCTCCGCCGGGCGAAGGGCCACTTGTGCCTCCGTCCCCACAGCGTGGGCGCCCGAAAGTGACGCCAGAAGCGCAGGGTTGCGAAGCGAGGACGGAGAGCCGGGGAGGCAGGGAGGGTCGCTGGGCTCCGAGCCCCGCCCGGGCCGCCGGCGCCGCCCGCCCCTCCCCCGCCCGGCGCGACCCCGGCGCCCGCCCGCTCCTCGCGGCTCTCGACCGCCGCCTGGTGGGGACGCGGAGCGGGCGCGGGCGGCGGCGCTTCCGGCTGGGCCGGGCTTGGGGCGGAGACGGGGCGGGGCCGGGCTTGGGGCGGAGGCTGGGCGGGGCCGGACGGCCGAGGCCAGGCCCGCGGACTCCCAGCCCCCAGACGTGGCGCAGTCTGCAGCACCGACTTCCGCGCGATCCGTGACCCACGTCTCGTGTGACCCAGACACACGTCACACGAGAAGCAAAGATCTGGCAAAGAGAGAAACGCCGGGTGCAGTCTTAGGCCCCACCCAGGGGTGCTCGCAAAGGATTGTGGTGAGGCCGCAACCCCGGACTCGGCCGACGATGCCCCATGACACCCTTATAAAAGGTCCCCAAGAGCCCCTGACGGCCCAAGCCCCCGGCGCCCCAGCCCTGGGTTCGCCTGGTCATCTGCTGCCCCTCTGTACCCTTGACGGTCGCGTCTTGTATTAATAAACACTAGGCGCTTGGATTTGGATGGTTAACCCAGTCTGACAATCTGCTTTTTAGGGGGTGATTGTTTTATCTGGATTACTGAAATATTTGGATTTACTTTTTAAAGTAAGTTTTATTTCTAGAACAGTTTTTGACTATGGCAAAACTGCTAAGGGAGCGTGGAGAATTCCCACGCAGCCCACACTCAGTCTCCCTTATCAACAACTTACATTACCTGCTGTGTTGGTCACAATTAATCAACCGATATTGACACGTGGGTATTGACTGAAGTCCATGTTTTATTTCATTCCTTCATTTTTACCCAATGCCCTTTCTCTTTCCGGGATCCCACAAGGCTCCACACGACACTTAGTTGTCCGGCCTCAGTGGGCCCCTCTTGGCTGGGGCCGTTTCTGAGTCTTGTTTTCTGTGGCTTTAACGATTTTGAGGAGTGTTGGTCGGGTATTTTGTAGAATGCAGCATCCTGCTGGAATGCTCCGGTGTGTTTGTCGTGATTAGCTGGGCTTACTGGTTTTTGGGAGGAAGGCCACAGGGGTACAGTGGTGTTTCGTCGCGTCATGGCGAGGGAGTGAGCTCGGCACACAGCTCCTCACGGCTGGTGTTGGCCACCATCTCCTGGCAGAGGTCACGCACTCTGCGACTGTCCCTGCCACACTCTGCTCTCGGGAAGGAAGTCACCATGCGCAGCCGCAATTGAGAAGTCGAGAGTTTCGCTCCCCTCCTTGAGGGTGGAATAGCCACATAAATTATTTGGAATTCTTCCACACAGATTTGACTCTTCTATTTATTTATTAGTTCAGTCATTTGTTTATATTAATATGGACTAACAAATACTCATATATTTTTTGTTCTAGTAAAATATACATAACGTAAAGTTTACCGTCTCAGCCGTGTGTAAGAGCGCAGTTCAGCGGCATTAAGCACATTCGCATTGCCGAGCAACCACCGCCATCATCGCCACAACTTTGCATCTTCCCAGACTGAAACTCTGTCCCCGTGAGACACTCACTCCCCCTCCCCCAGCCCCTGGCACCCACCACTCTACCTCCTGTCTCTAGGAATTTGGCTACTCTGGGAACCTTATAAGGGTGTAATCACGCGGTGTTTGTCCTTTTGTGTCTGTTTCACTGGGCTTGATGTCCTCAAGGTTCATCCGCGTTGTAGCGTGTGTCGGAATTCCATTCCTTTTCAAGGCTCAATAACATTCTACATTTGTCTATCCATTTGTCTGTTGACGGACACTGGGTTGCTTCCACCTTTTAGCTATTAGGAATAGTGCTGTAATGAGTGTACAGATATCTGAAACCCCAGTTTCAATTCTTTTGGGTTATACCCTGCAGTGGGATTGCTGGATCATATCGTAATTCTGTTTAATTTTTCGAGGAACTGCCACACTGGTTTCCACAGGGGCCCAGCTCCAATTCCTGGCGGCACGACCCCAAAAGGTAGTAAGAGAAACAAGGTGAATCGCCCGTTTTACATTCCCATCTATGGGACTCGAGGGTTCCAGTTTCTCTACATCTTCCCCAGCACTCACTGTCTGGTTCTTTCCTTCCGGACATCGCCAGTGTGAAGCGGTTTTGACTCGCATTTCCTGAACGGTCAGTGATGTTGAACATCTTTCCATGTGCTCGTGTGCCCGCTCTTTATCTTCTCTGGAGAAATGCCTACAGTCTTTGCCCTTTCAAAATTTGGTAGCGGGTATGGTGGCACATGCCTGTAGTCCCAGCTGCTCGGGAGGCTGAGGCAGGAGGATCGCTTGAGCCCAGGAGTTTGAGGTTGCTGTGAGCTAGGATGACGCCACGGCACTCACCTGGGCAATAGAGTGAGACTCTGTCCCCCGCACCCAAAAAAATTAATTAAACAAAAGGGAAAAAATGGATTGTTTATTTTTGTGATTGTTTTTTTTTGTTGTTGTTTTTTTTTTCCTTTTGAGACAGGGTCTGGCTCTGTTGCCCGGGCTAGAATGCAATGGCATCAGCCTAGCTCACAGCAACCGCAAACTCCTGGACTCAGGCGATCCTCCTGCCTCAGCCTCCCGAGTAGCTGGGACTACAGGTGCGCACCACCATGCCCAGCTAATTTTTTCTATTTTTAGTAGAGACGGGGTCTCGCTCTTGCTCAGGCTGGTCTCGAACTCCTGAGCTCAAAGGATCCTCCTGCCTCAGCCCCGCAGAGTGCTAGGATTACAGGCGTGAGCCACCGCGCCTGGCCTATCCCCTTAGATTTATTACATTTTCTTTTTTGGTGTGGAGGTTATGTAACCTCTTTCAATTATTTTCATGGTTACCTTAAAAGTGTCACATGACATTTTAAGGCTAAATCATTCTCCCTAGCCGTCTCCCGGACAGTGCTGGATCTCAGGCCTGTTAGCTCCTGGCCCCTCCTGCCGTGTGTGGTCTGGTGGTGTAAGTTTGGGGTTCACTTCGTACCCCCTGTGCAGGCTGGGCTCCCATGAGCAGACCCTGAGACAAGCCCTGTGAGGGGCTGGAGAGGGGAAGGACCGAGCAGGTGACAGGCAGGGGGCTGCTGCTGAGGCCACCTTCGAGCCACGCACGCATGTGCAGGTGTGTGTGCGCGTGTCGGTGGATGTGTCTGCTCGCTGGGGCCCCCCAGTGGTGGTGGCGATGTCCGTGGGTCTCGTCTTCTCCAGGAAGGGGTCACAGGTCTCCTTGCTGCACACACCGTCTCTCACCCAGTCGGGCCTGTGCTGTCAGCCTGCAAGTTCGGCTACGCTCCTCGGGCACCGGTGACCCTGTCCAGACCCGTCCAGAGAACACATGGCGTGGCACGTCCTGCGGTGGGTAGAACAGCCCAGGGAGTTGGCACACAGGTTGCCCAGGCGCCTGGAACACACTGCTCCTGTGGTCCCCACTGTCTGGGGACCCTCTGTAGGAGTCTGGATTCTCCAGAGAAACAGGAGGATGTGTGTATCTCTACATACACAGCCCTGTACGTGTATGTGTGCGTGCGCCTGTGTCTGTACGTACACACACGTCTCTCACACGCAGAGAGGAGGGAGTTATTTTAAGGTCAGCTGGTGTGACTGGGGCTGGTGGCAGACAGGCGTGCGGTGCCGCAGCAGCTGAGAGCGCCCCCGTGTCCCTCAGCAGGTGACCCGTCCATGCAATGGAATGTTACTTGGCCTTAAAAAAGAAAGAAGCTCGTGACACGCTGCAACAGGAATGAGCCCTGAAGACGCTGGGCTCAATGAGAGAAGCCAGTCACAAGAAGATGCATACTGCACGATCCCACGGACGGGAGGTATCTAAATTCGTCGATGCTCAGAAACAGGACGTGGAAAGGCAGCTGCCAGGCTGGGGACAGGTAGGAGAGGGAGTTAGTGTCTAATAGGCACAGAGGTTTAGCTCCGCGCGATGAAAACGTTCTAGAGATCTGCTGCACAGCAAAGTGCATACAGCTGGCACAGCTGTGCTGCGCACGCAGAGGGGTTAGGGTGGCGTGCAAGTCGCTCCAGGGCTTCCCTCTCATTTTTTCCTAACAGTGATTAGAAGAGACACGAGCAGGAAAATAATGACGGAGTGGTCACAGGTCCTAGGTGTACATGGCGCGTCCAGAGGCCACGCGGAGGTCGGCCAGCCCGAGAGGAGAGGGGCTGTGGTGGGGACCAGGGGGACGTGCCCTTCTTGGGGTCCTGGGAGTGGGCAGGAGCAGGCAGGGAGGACAGGGCCCGCCGTGGCCGTGGCCACACGCTGCTCCACCCCATCTCTGGAGCGTCAGGGTGGGGAGAGCTGCCTCTGCTCTAACCCAGCTGTGAGCTTCAACTGTGAAGCCACCGGGAGTCCGGAACCCTCAGGGCCACAGCCGGGAATATCAGAAGTTAGAGGTCGGGGGTGCAGGAGGCAGAGCCTGTTTTCCACCGGCTGTGAGCAACGGGCAGGTGAGCGTTGTCTCGTGGGTCGCTCAGGGCCAGGTGGCCGGTGCAGGGCCCCCTTTCTGCAACCTGGCCAGCCTCCACCTGAGGAGCCCGGGCCAGGACCCCAGGGTGGGCAGGTCTGGGTGCTGACTCCCTCCATCCTGTGACCTTGGGGAAGGTGTTCGGTGCATGAATAGTCCCCTGCCCTGGCCCAGGGAGAAACCAAGGCCGGAGAGCGGCCAGGATGGAGGTGCAGGGCCACCCTCCACCCCACCAAACCCAGAGCCAGCTTCTCCTCCAGCCCCTGCCCTGGGCTCAGCCGGGAGATGCCCAGGCTGGAGCGTGCCCTGCCCCTGCTGACCCGGTGCCCACGACGCTGGCCTGCCCCGTCAGCACAGATCTTGCAGCCTCAGCAGCTGGCCTGGCCTCAGCGGGAAGCATCCTGGCAGGCAGAGGGCTGGCAAGGGACACAGGGCGCCCCACCTGCTTGGACCCATCAGGCAGTCAAGGGGCTGGGGGGGAACAGGTGTGTGTGGGTGTGACCTGAGGGCCGTGCCCAGGACTGCGGGGAACTGGGTAGGGGCCGGAGGGGCCGGAAGAGCCCCTCAGCTCAGGATGGCCTAGCCCTGCAACCGCAAACCTCACGCCCACTGCCTGGCAGGGGCAAGGAGGCCTGGGCCGCAGCTTTGGGCAACTGCCCTGTGGGTCGTCGGAGCCAGGCAGGGAGGGGTCGGTGTGTGTCTGCAGAGTGAGCACCTGTGCGCGGGCGTGTACGCAAAAGGTCTGTGTGCTATTGTGGCGCCTTGTCACCAACCAGCCTGAGCACATGGCTCCCGCGGGAGCCAGCCTTGCTGTTCTGAGTGGAAGGGAGCTCAGGCTTCCCTGAGAAATCCTGGAATAGCCCCCGACCACGCCTGGCCTCCCAGAGGGCAGCCCTGACCCCCTCACCCCAGCCCGTGTCCAGTGGTCCCTGCCTGAACTGTAGACTCTCAGCCCTTGTGTGCAAGGTGGCCAGAGGGTCCCTAACGCAACTGTTCATTTAACTGTCTTTAGAGGGTATTTGTGAAGTGCTGGCGCTGGGCCTGGGCCCACGGGGATGGGAGGGCACCTAGCTCAGGTGACTGCGTACCAGCTGGCCAGCGTGGGTCCCCAACAAGAAGTGTCGCAGTGTTCGGTGACATCCTGGGGCAAGGGCCCCATGTAGAGCAGCAGGAGGGCAGAGTCAGAGGGTGGCGTGGTGAAGAGGGAGAGGCGGGGGACTGCGTGTGAGGCCCCAGCGCCGCGTTCAGGGTGAGGGGACCCAGGCCAAGGGGGGCCAGGGAGGGGCTCTGTGGGGAAAGGCAGAAAGCCTGTCCCAAAATAGGGCCGGCAGGATTTCCCACCCATAAAAGGCTCTTCACGTCTGGACCCCAGGGACCCTGGGCAGCTGGGCCAGCTAAAACTCGGCTGCCACCACTGCCGGCAGCAGCCTGTGCCCCAGCCCTGCAGCACCTGCCCTCCCCAGCCAGCCACAAACACGGTAAAGCTGCTCCCTGTGCCTGGTGGAGCCTCCAGTGGGCGGCTGGGTGGGTCTCGCTGGATCTGGGAGTAGCACCTAGTGCAGGAGAAGCTGGGGAATGCTGAGCTGGCGCCTGGGGGTGCGAGTGCCTCTCCAGGGGCCTGAGGAGGGAGCTCAGGCAGCCTGGGCAGGAAGCGGCTGAGCCCTATGGCTGCCGACACTGCCCTCATTCTGGGGCCACGGTGGAGCAGCCCTCTCTGAAAGCTGGCCCGTGGACCCACTGCCAGGGGTGGCAGGCAGGGGTGGCCAGGTGCTGCACCGTCCCCCCAGGGTGCCAAATAGGCCATCTCACAAGCCCTGGCTATGCGCAGACCTGGAAGCCAATTCCTGGGAGATTTCGCCCTGGCCTGGGCCAGGCCCCTCCCCATACTGCTCCCCACATGGCTGGCCTGCGCCCCCACACCGGGCTCCGCCTCGCTCACCTCTGCCCCTTTAAGCTACCTGGCAGAGCCCTGCTCGTCCTGGAGAGCTGTCACCTTGTCCTGGAGCATGCTCCGGGTTGGGGCCTCCTCTTTTAACCACTTGCCTTGAAGGGTGGCCAAGCAGATGGGTAGGGAGGGGCGTCTCCACCCCTCCCCTGGACAGAGGAGGCATGGGGGCCCTGGCGTGGCCTGCACGGTGTCCTCTGCAGACGGAGCGCCTGTCCGCGGAGCAGATCAAGGAGTACAAGGGGGTCTTCGAGATGTTGGACGAGGAGGGCAACGGGGAGGTGAAGACGGGGGAGCTGGAGCGCCTCATGAGCCTGCTGGGCGTCAACCCCAAGAGCGAGCTGGCCTCCATGGCCAAGGACGTGGACAGAGACAGTGAGTGGCGCGGGGCGGCCTGGGCCGGGCTGGTGTGTGCGGGGTGGGGGCCCACCCCGCCTCACTCGGGCTCCTTGCGGACAAAGGGTTCTTCAACTGTGATGGCTTCCTGGCCCTGATGGGGATTTACCACGAGAAGGCGCAGAACCAGGAGAGCGAGCTGCGGGTGGCCTTCCGCGTCTTCCACAAGGAGGGCAAGGGCTACATCGACTGGAACACGCTCAAGTAGGGCGCGAGCTGGGCAGCGGGCGGGGAGGGTGGGCAGGCCGGTGGCTCAGTGCCGGACCCGCAGGTACGTGCTCACGAACGCGGGCGAGCCCCTCAACGAGGTGGAGGCAGAGCAGATGATGAAGGAGGCCGACAAGGACGGGCGGCACCATTGACTATGAGGGTGAGTGGGCGTAGCCTGGGAGCGGGCGCCAGCAGGGCAGGCGCTGACCCGCCCTCTGCCTCCAGAGTCCGTGGCCATGATGACCGGAGAGTCCTTCAAGCTGGTCCAGTAGGAGCAGCTGCTGGGGCCGTGGAAGCCCTGCCCAGGGAAGGCCGCTGCCCACCCACCCCACCCCACCCGGCTCGTGTCAAATAAACGCTCCAGCCTGGCTCATGTGTGCTTCACTGTCCCCAGCCTGGAGGGGAGAGGTGGCAACGGCGTGGGGCTGGAGGAAGGAAAGGGCTCTCCGGGACAGCCTGGGCACAGGCCCCAGTCACTGCTGCCACAACACCTGGCACCACCCACTGCCCAGCTCTGGGCTCCAAACAGCAGGCTGGAGGCCAGACTGGGCACGGGCTGAGGACCACGTGCTCACCCTGCCGGCTTGCACTGGGGCTTGGCTGCCTGGGGGCCCTTCCTGGAGCCCTGGAGCCCCAGAGCTCTTCCCACGTAGGCACAGGCCACTTAAATACAAACTTTATTCTCGCTCTAAAAAGATGCAGATGTCACAGCTGCCCTCGAGCTCTTGAGGCTCAGGGCCCGCTGGGGCTGGGCCAGGGGCTGGGGCTGAAAGCAGCAGCCTGCCTGGGGGGTGGCCAGTGGGGCGACAGCATCGAGGCTGGGGCTGCAGCAACGTGCAGGACGGCAGGTCTCCCTGGGGGAAGGATGGTGGGCAGGCTGGGGGCCCCGTGGCTCCAAGCACCCATACTCCGGCTCTGGTCCGATGGCTCCAGGAGTGCTCCCCTGCCTCCCTCACAGGGCACCGGTGCTGCAGTGGGAGTGTTGGGCATGGAGGCCTGGCTCCTGGGGCCCTGGAGTGTTCTCTAGGCCTGAAGCCCCAGGGAGCAGGCTGGGTTTCTGGGGGGGCACCAGCTCTTCCTCTCTGGGTTTGGCCATCTTGACAGCCTCATCATAGGAGGGCGGAAGCTCAGGGCCATACAGACTGTAGGCAGGAGGGGCCATGGAGTCAGGGTCCAGTTCCCCAAAAGGCAGGGGCAGCCGCATGCCCAGTGGGTACTGCACGGAGCTGTAGGCTGCAGGGAACCAGAGTGGGTTTGTGGAGGTAGGTTTGACATTCGCCCCCCTGCCACCTCCCCACTGCCCGGCAGGTGGGCCACCAGCCACTCACAGGTCACAGTGCTGTGCACAGGGCTGTCGCTGTCCACAGGGAAGACTGTCAGGTCACAGGGCTGCTGTGCTGGTGGCAGATGTGGCTGGGCCTGCGCCTGCTTCCGGAGGCAGCAGAACCGGACACAGCTGGCTGTGACCCCACACAGCAGCAGCAGGAGGACAGCGAGCAGGACCAGCCTGGGCAGGGAGCAAGGCCCTACCGCTGGAGTGACCCTCGCTGCTGGGCACCTGCACCCTGGGACAGTCACAGCCCAACCACCCAAGACAGCACCGCAAACAGGATAAGAAAACAGAGAATGTCTGTCCACGTGGAGACCTCCCTGGCCAGAGCCTGGCCTGAGGAGCTGGCTTGCCCTGGCCTCCAGCCGCTGGGCTTGCCCTGGCTGTCTCTCCGGGCTGGCCAGGGGTGGCCTTGGGCTCACTCCCAGGACACGCTGTCCCCGGCCTAGTGCACAGTCCCTGTGCCCGGTGCTGACAGCAGGGCAGGCAGGAGGGGCGGGAAAGCGCGTGTAGGCTGCGGGGCAACTGTTGCGCTCTGGGCCACCAGGGCCCAGCGCCTTCCCACCATTGGTCTGGGGAAGCGGCAGCGGAGGTGGCCAGGTGCGGCGGGGGTCTGGCGGACTCGCCCGGTAGCTCCCCAGGAGGAACCGTCGGACCGGCGGCTCCGCGCCGCGGCCTCCACTTACCCCACGTGCCACAGGCTGCTCCAGCGGGCCTGGGGCGGACACCTGCGGGGACCGCGGCACCTGGAGCAGCGGGGCCTGGCGGCAGACCTCGCAGCCCTCCCCACAGGGCGGGCCCGGCCCCGCTCCCTTCTCCCGACTTACTGGTCCGAGGGGTCGCAGCTGCTGTTCGCGAAGCCCAGCGCCACCTGCGGGGACAGGGGTGAGCCGAGGGGCGGGGCCTGAGCGCAGCCCCGCCCCGCGAAGCCGAACCGCGCAGCCCGACCCACCTGCGGCAGCGGCAGCGGCAGCGGAAGGAGCGGCAGCAGCAGCAGCCGCCGGAGCCCGCGGGCGGCCCGCGGCTCCCGGGCCATGCTCTGCGGGCCGCAAGGCGCGGTGGCGGGCGCGCGGCTTTATGGGCCCGGCCCGCCGGCCCCGCCCCTACAGCAAGCCCCGCCTCAACAAGCCCCGCCACACCCTCCGGCCCCGCCCCATATCAAGCCCCGCCTCAACAAGTCCCGCCCCATGTTTCGCCCCCGCCCCCACATCAAGCTCCGCCCCAGGCCCCGCCCCACCCACTGACCTCACCCCAGCAGAGCCACGCTCACCAAGGCCTCGCCACAGCCTCTGGCCCCCTCCCCCATGATCCAGCCCACTTCGAGACCCGCCCACCGGGGGGGGGTGCGTCTGGTGGAAGCCCCGCCCCGTCCCCTCCCATCCCCACCTCCCTCGCGTCGCCCAGGCCCAAGGTTGCGGGCTGCGGGCATAGCTGGCAGTCTGCGGCTGGGCTGCGGGACTTGGCGCCCCGTGGAGCTGGTCGGGAGCGCGGTGGCTGCCCCGGGCGTGGCCGCTGGGACTAAGCTGGCACCGCGGCCGCGACACCGCCCTGCATCCACGTTTGGACGTGGCCCTCCCCGCCGCTGGCTCCGCTGGGTGCAGACACTCTCGGAAAGCCCGAGGGCCCGGGGCCCAGCACCCTCCCTAAGCCTGGGGCCCGGGAAGGCCGGGGCCCCTTCTTCCGGGAGAACCCTGGACTTTTGACCCTTGCCCTCCTCCCACTCGGCCAGGGTCCCCGCTAGACCAGCAGCACAATGTGATGTCCGGTGGTCAGTGTAGCAAGGGCAGGGTGGCTGTCTTGTCTGGGAGAGGGGCCACGCCCTTATTAGGGGTGTGTGGGCGATGCTGTGTCCCCCTGGAAGGGAAGTGACCCCACCCCCTGAAGGCAAGGTCTCCTCTGCTTGGGTCCTCTGCCAGATGCCTGCTCCTCCCCTGGGGGCTCCAGGCCACCCTTGCTCCTGCCTTGGCTGTGCTGCTTGTGGGGTCCCGGCGTGGGAGTGAGAGGAAGCCATGGATGGACCCAAGTCCAGCTGGGCCTTCCCTGGAGCTCAGAAGTGCAGGCTCTGCCCTCATGCAGGGCCTAGGCCACTGAGTACCAGGGGCCTGCCAGCGGGACAGCCAGGCCAGGGGTTGGAAGAGTGGCCTTCCCAAGGGATGACCCCCTCCAGGGAGCACCTCGTCCTGAGGCCAGGCCCGGCCGAGGCCTGGTGACTTTGCCTTCTCCTCGCATCTGGCAGGAAGCAAGCTGGGGCCAGCAAGGGACTTGGGCCTGCCACCTCCAAGGCTCACTGGACAGAAGTCCTATAAAATGCCACTCCAGGGTCAGTGGCACTGGCTCTAAGTTTGGTGGGTTCCAGGCAGGACAGGCACTGAGGAGTGGGGGTGAGGGTGGGCAGCTCCAGATGGGTGTCCCTGAGGTCTGTGCCCAGGGAAGCACCCAGATGCACCACCCTCCACCCCGCCAGGCCAGGGAAGGCTGCCTAGTGATGGCAGGGCCAGGCTGGGTGGCCTCTGTGGGGACATATCCAACAGACACTCCAGAGGACAGGAGCTGGCGGGTGGTGGGTGGGGGCTGGGGGCTGTCTTCTCCCTTGAAGGATGGGTCGGGGCCCAGAAAGCCCAGCCTCGTCTCCGGCAAGGAGAAACCAATCCCATGAGCTGGGCCTCCCCCTGGACCCTGGCTGGGCTGAGGGCAGCATGTGAGTGAGCTGGGACCCTGACCTTCACTCACCCCTTGCTTGGGGTCGTCAGGGGTCCTGGAACTGGGAGGAGCCTGGGGGTCTAAGTGGCCTGTTGGGCTTTGGAGTCCCTACCCGCTCCTCCCTTCTCCCTAGTGCTCCGGGCTTGGGGTCTCTCCTGGTGTTTGGGCTGGGGTGGCCCCCCCACAGATGTCCAGCAAGATTCCCATCCTCCAGGAGGCTCTGCCAGGCAGTCTGTTGTTTGATGGACTGGTGTGTGCGCGTGTGTGCGTGCGTGTGCGCGTGTGTGCGTGCGCACACACATGGGGGAGGGCTGCTTCCCCAGGGCTCTGCCCACCCTTCACTCTGTGCCTGTTGCGGTGGAGCCCTCACCGTCACCCGCACTGCAGCCCCGTGTTGCTCACAGAGTTTATTGACCGGCTTGTGGGGGTGGCTCTGCCTGGGGCCTCCAGAGGCTGTGCAGGTGCGGGTGGGGCTGGGGCTGGGGCAGGCTGCGGACTGGACTGACCTTGTGCCAGCTGGGTGTGAGGTCCAGGGAGGGGTGCTCTTGGACCCTGGGCCCTCTGGGTCTGGGGCAGCAGGAATTGGCCACGGGCCATGCAGAAGGCTGCCCATTGGGACCTGCCGGGCAGGGGATACCAGGTCCTAGGGCCTGGTCACAGCCTGGGGAGGGCTTTGAGGGTGGCAGGAGGGGCTGACGGTGCTCTGTGGAGAGGCTCCTGTGGCCTCAGCGGCCGGTCACCACCTGGGCTACAAAGATGACCTTGTAGGTCTCCTTGACGTCCCCTCTGAGCTGCAGCAGAGCTGACACCATGAGTGGGTGGTCTGGCTGGAGAGGGGAGGGAGAGAACTCTCAGTGCAGGGCACCCCCGGCAGCTCTGTCGTCTTCCCTGCTGCACTGCCCACCTCACCCCCTGGGGCCCTCCACAGCCATCCCTTCCCTGGGCGGGGCAGGGGTGTCAGCACCCCCAGCCTCTGGTGTTCCCGGGGCCCCCGGCCTGGAGCCTGTAGGCACCTACATCGAAGTCGGCGGGCGGCACCCAGGCGATGCTGATGGTCTTGGTCTGGCCGCGCTCTACGGAGCCCCTGGAGGGCTCTATGGAGAAGCCTTTGTGCTGCAGGGACGCGATGCTGTCCAGGCTGAACTCGACCGTCTGTGGGCACAGGGCTGCTGGGGGCTGGCGGGCCAGGCGCTGCTCCCAGGGCAGGGGGACGGGGGACGAGGGTACCCAGCTCCACCCACCTTCTCGGCTCTGACCAGCAGGCCACCCACCCACAGCTGCTGCAGAAGTCGCAGGCAAGCCCCAAGAGGGGCAAGGCCTGGAGGGGCCGGGGCTGCCAGCGTAGGGGAGGCTGAGGAGGCTGTCACAGTGCTACCAGGGGCAGTGCTGTGGTCACCTTCTTTGGAGACAGCTGGGTGGTCCGGATACAGCCCACCTGCAGCTCCCGGGTGGCAGGCGGGGCTGGCGTGTCTGTGTCAAACTGGATGTAGTCCAGGGTCACGAGGATGGGCCTCAGCTCCTCCATGTCTGGAGAGGGAGGGCCTGGCTGGGAGCTGGCTATGGCCAGGGGAGTGAGGGGAGGCGCCCAGGGTCAAGTTGGGGGATGGGGGTGGCTGCAGTGGCCCCCCGCCGGGCTCAGGGGCCTGGGCTGGGGCCTGCCCTCTGCTGCCAGGGCCGGGTGCGAGGCTAGGGGTGCTGGGAGGTCCTCTGACGGCCCCCTCCTGGGGGTGCTCACCCTCTCTGTGCTCGGGGTCCAACACCGGGACCACCGTCAGAGACTCCACAGGCACGTCCAGGGGGTCTCCGCCCTCCACAAACATCATGTGCTCGCGGGCGGCCCCCTTCAGGAGGATCTGGTGGGAGACCGTCTGGGGACAAAAGTGCAGCAGCTTTGGGGCTGGGGGCCCTGGCTGTGAGGGCTGGGGCGGCTCTGGGAGAGGGGCGTGGGGACCCCGTAGGACCCTGGACTGTGGTCACTCCACCGGGTGACCCTGACACAGCACCCCCAGTGCGGCGCTCGGGGCTGCCTGGTGCTTGAGGCCTCCAGAATGGGCCTCGCAGGGAGGGTCCAGGGCTCCTGGACACATGGGGGACATCCCCGGGTCGGGGCTGGGCCCGGGGGCCAGGCTTGCAGAGCCGCACCTTTTCGAAGAGCACCACGCGGAGCCGGTCGGAGAAGTAGAGGCTCTCGTGGTCTGGGCTGAAGGTCACAGTGAAGTCCTGTGTTCTCCCTGGGTCCATGATGCCCTTGACGGGCGCCACGCTGAACACACTCTGGCCACTGAAGTTCTGAGTGCCTGCGGGTGGCGGCGTGTCCAGCCTCCCCCACCGCGGTCACTCTCTGCCCCGCCCCATCTCCAGCCCCTCCTGGCCCCGCGCTCCTGCGCCCCCCCAGCCCTGCTCACCGACCACCTGGGTCCTCTGGGCGGGGGAGGCCAGGAACTGCGGCAGCTGCTGCTGGGCCTCACCCCTGCGGCCGCAGAGGCTCTCCAGCTGCATGGAGAACTTGATGCGGAGCGAGGAGTTGTTCTGCAGCTGCAAGAGCCGCCGCCGGTCACTGGACCAGCCCGGCCAGCCTGGTGGCAGGGTCAGCTGCCCTCTTCCTGTTGTTAGTGCCCATGGAGCGGTCACCTGCCACTGGCCACACCGACTGGGGACCCAGGTGGCCTCCTGCGTCTAAGCTCCATCCCCGTGACTCCCACAGTGACACACGTACTCCTGCAGTTGGCTGAAGGGTTGGTACCGCTTCCTCTCACCCACCCTCACGGGAACCCCTCACCAGCCAGGCAGCCTGCTCCCTGCCCAGCACGTGGGGACAGCTCTGTGGTGCCATCTGTCCTCTAGAGCTCCTCTGAGGTCACACTCAGGCCCGGCTTAGCTGAACCCACATCCTCGCTCCCCCTCCTGAGAGCACGCCTCCTCAATGCACCCCTCTCAGGCTCTGCGCCCAGGGCCGACCTACACCAGGCGAGGAGGCAGGTGTCCTTCTGTGGGCTGCTGGAGCCCAGAAGGGTGCGACACTCAGAGGAGGGGCACCCAGAACCTGGCGCCCTCACGAGCAGACGTGGGAGCCACGAGCAGTGTGGCCTTGACAGGGAGCTCTGCAAGCCCTTGCCTCCGGGGTGCCTGAGTGGGGCCCTCGAGGAGTGTTCAGGCAGCAAAGCCCAAGGGCTGCTGGAGGGGAGCACTGTGCAAAGGCCCTGGGGCAGAAGGGCAGGAGCACCGGGGAGGCTGAGGGGTAGAGGGCAGGGGACATCCCAGCTTTCCCAGAAACAAGGGCCTGCGTCCCCTGTTGGAGAAGGCAGCGGAGGCAGCAGAATGGAGGGGCCGTCTGTGCCTCCACCGGCTCCCCAACCAGTGGGGCGCCCTGAAGGGCTGGGCAGACCCCTCCTCAGGTGGAAGCCCCTCCTGGGAAGCTGGGGCAGGCACCAGGGTCCCGAGGCGGGCTTCACCTTGAAGCTCGAGGAGACAGACTCCCTGGCAATCACGTAGCCCATGTCGAGGACATCGCCTTCGATGGAGCATGTGGTCATGGATGCCATGCCGGTGCCCGTGAGGGTGAGGGTGAGCGTGCCTCTCTTGGTGATGATGTCCAGCGTTTCCTGAGCCTAGGGAGACCACGTCCCTTAGCGAGGTGCAGCTGTCTGTCAGAGGCATTTTGGTTCACGCGCGCAGGAGCTGACAGCACGGAGCTCCCTCCCCTCCGCTTATTTGCCGGCCAGAGTGAGGGCCGGGGACTGGCTGCCGGCAGACCCAGGTGTGGCCAGTCCTGGGCCGGAGCACACAGCAGCCTCTGGCCCTGGACAACACCTTGGCCCTGCGGCCTGGGGAGCTCAGGGCTGCAGGGTCACCTGGGGCGGGCCTGGGGCTCACCAGGATGCTCTCGTGGGGAGAGAAGGACAGCACCAGGACCTGCGTCTCGCCCGTGTGCAGCTTGCTGGTGGGGTTCAGCAGGACAAAGGGGCCGTTGGGGTCCAGCACTGAGAACCCCACCTGAGTTCAGTGTCAAGGAGGGGACACTGACCCCTCCGGGCTCTGCCACAGCCCCGTACCAGGCCCCCACCCCACCCCATAAGCTGCCCAAGCTGGGTGTGGACAGGATACAGCAAGGTCCTCCGGGGAGACGTTCTGGATGGAGACCTTCTTCATGCTGCTGTGTCCTGAAATGGGGCAGGAGAGTCAGGTGACAGCCCCCAGGTCCCAAGAGACAGCCCTGGGGTGGGTCGTGGGAGCGGGGTGTGCGTGGGGAGCTGAGTGTCTGGGCCCAATCAGGACTCACCTATGGCAACATCGCCGAAGTCAAAGACGGTCTTGCCTTTTTCGGATGTCACCACGACAGATGGTGCCACTGTTGGACACCACAGCTCCAGGTACAGGGTGTTGTGGGGGCTGGGGGTGGGACAAGGGCACGGTGAGGGCAGGGTGGGGAGCCCGTGCCCTCCAGGCCCTGGGTCTGAGCAGTGGTGGAGGAGGGACGCTGGGTTTGCAGCCAACCATGCCCCGTCCTGGCCAGAGCACTCGCACCTGAAGCTCAGGGGTTCCGATCCCTTCCTGTCTCTGATGTCACCACTGGCAATGACACAGGGGACCACAAACTTGTCAAACTTCCCCTGGAAAGCTCTAGCCAGGGAGGCCTGGGCAGTCTGGTACCTGTCGGAGCTGGAACGAAGCCGGCAAAGCGCACTCACGCCCTGCCCCACCTTGCCCCTGGCCACGCAGCGCCAACCCGAGGTCCTGCCCTGGGCTCTTCAGCGTGGGATCAGACCTCCCCCACCCTCCACGGGGGGGTCCGCACGGCCACACCTGCCCCCTAGGGCCCTGGGCACAGAGTGGCCTCTCCCGGGAAGGCCAGAGAGGTAAGGGGCAGCAGGCTGGGGCCACACCAGGTCCCAGGTGATGGCTGCCCCAGGTTTGTCTGACAAGCTGGCTGTCCCACCCTGGTCCGGCCCCTGTAGAGGCCACCTCACCACTCAGGGTGCTGTGCAGCCTGGGGGTGGGGTGGGGGGAGGAGCAGGCGCCTTTGGCACCCAGCTAGAGAGCCATGTTTCTGGGCCTGCGTGTTTGGGTACAGCGCTGGCAGGTAGCCCAAGCCCGTCAGCGCTCACACCCTGGGAAGGCGGGAGTCAGGGCAGCCTTCCTCTGCCTGTGGAGCAAGGCTGTTCACGGAGACACCAGGCCCAGGGGAATGGGGTGGGCAGGTGTCCGGGAAGGCAGGGTCTGCGTCCGGCCGTATCTGAAGCCATCAGCCCTGGACTTAGCTGCGTGGGCCAGCGAAGCTCCAGGCAGTCTGGGGCGGGGCGTCTCCACAGGCCGAGTGGGTCCTGCCAGAGAGGCCTGGAGGGCAGCGGGGGGCAGCCCTTCCCAGCCCACCTGGCTTTGAGCTGTTGCTCCTGCAGCTCCAGACTGGGGTGGGTGGAGACCTGGAGAGGCTGGTCCCGGTTCTGCAGCCGAAGTGTGGAAAAGGACTGTCTGCACAGGCCCCTTCTCTGGGTGACCGTGTCCTTTCCGAACTGTGAGCGGGAGCTCGGCTGTGGGGTGGCCCCAGCAGCACCGCTCTGGGCCCAGCAGCACCAAGGCTGCCTCCTGCGGCTTCTCTGGGCCCAGCCAGGCAGACCTGGGCTGACTGTGAGTGCGGGAACCTTGGGAGCCCCCAGTTTGGGTTGAACGGGGACCCCAAGACCCACTGACTCCCTGAGCACTGGAGGCAGGTGCAGAAGGGGTTAAACGGTGGAGACAGATGGGTGTCCAGAGGGCACCTGAGGCCCCAGCGCACAGAACCCCCAGGGCTGCTCAGCAACTCCAGCGCCTGCCTTCACCCATGGGGAAACTGAGGCACAAAGCAGGGTGAAGAGCCCACCAGAACCGGGGTCCTCACCCTTGCTGCCTTTCCCCGCACCGCGCCACCCCGCCAGCAGGCTGAGGGCGAGCTTTCACGTGGGTGCGCTGTAAAAGCCGCAAAAGCCACAGGCGCTCAAGAGGAACCTCCAGGACGTGGCGCCTCTCCAGGGCAGGCCACCGTGGGGTCTGTTCCAGGGCAGGACACTCCTTGCTGCAGGCCCACACTGCTGTGGCCGATGCCGCGTGCCAGCCCTGGTGACTGTGAGAAGTGGACTTGCCCTCTACCCGCTGCTGGCCTTTGTTCCCTGCTGACCGGTGCCGCGGGCTGGACGCCCACCCTCCAAAGCCCGCCCCCGGGTCCCTGCCGCCTGGTGCTGCTTTCAGGACCTCTTTTCAAGAGGGAAGTGTCTTGGCGAGAAAAGTTTTAAACTTCTTGGATACAGCTTGATGCCCGCAATGCGCTGGCAGAGCCCGCGCCAGCTCGGCACGCTGGCCCCAAGGGCCCCAGGGCAGCAGAGCTTGTTCCTGGCGATGGCGGCACCACAGCGCTGGACGCCCCGGCACCGCCACATCCTCTCAAGCCCCTCCCGGGTCCAGGGCCCACGCCTCTCCTCCTGGGGCCCCCATGACCCCCCTCCCGGGGCCCCACATACGTGTTTGGTCTCCATCTCTTTCTTCAGGATCTGAAGGGCCTCCTGCTGGATCAGCTCCTCGGGCAGCACGGGCCGGAAGGCCACCTGGACCAGGCACCTCTGAGCACAGGCAGGACACATGGCCATGGGCCCTGGTTTGCCACCCCCGCCCCTGGGAGCCCCTGGGGCCCTGCCCTGCCCAGCACTGTGCTCCCACTGGAGGCGGGGGTGGGCTGCGGTGCATGACAGGCCAGCCCCCATCCTGGCAGGGTGGGGTCCTGCTGTTGGCTGACAGCAAAGCCCCGCCCACTGCCCACCAGAAATGAGGCTTCCTTTTCAGCCCTGAGGCTTCAGGGGTGGGGTCCTGCACACATCAGCCTTTCCAAAGCGCCTTCGTTCACTGGTCTGTAGCCAGCCCCCACGGGAAGGTCCCTCCGAGACAGACCCGCACACAGAGCTTGGCAGGCAGAGGCGCGGGTGACTGACGGGGAGGAAAGAGCCGGCAACCGCAATCCAGCCACCATGACCCACTGGCAGTGAGAAGCGTTACTTGAGCAGCATGTGCTCAATTTAATGTAACGCATTTAAAATAATCGTATTTGCTGAAATCCTGCTGGGAGCCAGGCACCCCCTTCATGTGCCCTATCTGCTTAGTCCTCCCAGCCGCCTCAGAACGGCTGTCACCTAAGGCCCTGCCTTCCAGGCCCAGGCGCTTTCCGCTCCGCTGGGGAATCAGGGAAAGCCGGGGCCCCACTGGGTGCTTGCCAGGTCTGCAGCTGGGGGTGCTCCCAGCCTCTTGGGGTCAGGCAGGCGGAGGGCACTGTGGCCTCTTCCCACTACCTGTGGGTGGCCCCTGGCCCCGGGCTTGCTGGCCACAGAGCCTCCCTTGGCCCTGCTGGGGTCGGATGAGGGCTAGGGTTGATCCCTGTGGTAAGGGTGGGCAGAGCCAGGCACCCTGTAGTCCCCACCTCCCAGCCCACCCATGGGGCTCACGCTCACCTTTCCTGGCAACACAGTCCCCACTGAGGGTGAGATGGTGATCGGTGAGTCCGGGGGCAGCAGGAACTCGAAAGACGTTGGCCCCACTGGGGAGGCGTCCTCTGAGCCGATGCGGGGCATGGAGTGGGTCAGAGAGTTCATGCTCAGGTGGGAGCTGGTGACGTGCACCGTGGCCACAGAGGTGCCATACAAGGCGGTGGCTGCAAACTTGATCTGGTAGTGGGAGAGCTCCAGGGGCGGGTGGATGCCCACGGCCCGGCAAGCCAGCTTGAAGCACCTGGAAGTGACGAGTGTGGGTGCTGCTCGGCTGCGGAGGGTGTCTGGTCCCTCTGCAGCATGGGAGGGTGGCCTCTGTGTGGGGCGCAGGGACGTGTGTACCGGGTGCCCTGGGGACCCAGGACTCATCACTGCAGCCACAGCTGCTCACTGCCCCTCAAGTTTGGAAACTGCCGTTTCAGGTGGGTAGCTGGCATTTTTCTTTTGTGTTTTTCAGAGAAGGGACCTCGCTGTGTCGCCCCAGCTGGAGTGCGGCAGTGGCACCATTGCAGGATCACGGCTCACCGCAGCCTCCAGCTCCTGGCCCGGGCGATCCTCCTGCCTCCGCCCCAGAGCGGCGGGACCACAGGCGCACCCCGTGCCTCAGGTCGCTTAACCTTGAATCACTCGCCTGGACAGTTGCAAAGGACGTAATTTCTGGCTTATTTTGTTAAATATTTATTTACATTTAAAAAATTAAAGTGATAAATTTCTCTTTAAATGTAAGGACAAGGATTTATACATTAATACCATAGTGAGTGATTCCCCCAAACACCCATTTAAGAAATGCACAGACATTTGGGTATTTCAACCACTGGGAACTTTACATTCCGTATTTTCCTTGAACTCCTATTTCCACTGTATGTTCCCTGTCAACTTTTATGGAATTACATGTATTTTATGTTTTAAAGGATGGCACTGACTACCATATCACTCTTGTCTGCAACAGAACATGTTCACATGCTAAAATATTTCAATGTGTATTTTTATGTCCCACAACCATAAGCTCTAAATGAGAAAAAAATTTTCTCTTAGATCATTTAGGTTACTATTAGTATTCAATTAAAAAAATATAAATGGCCGGGCGTGGTGGCTCATGCTTGGAATCCCAGCACTCTGGGAGCCCGAGGCGGGAGGATTGCTTGAGCTCAGGAGTTCGAGACCAGCCTGGGCAACAGCAAGACCCCGTCTCTACAAAAAATAGAAAAAATTAGCTGGGCATGGTGGTTCGCACCTGTAGTCCCAGCTACTTGGGAGGCTGAGGCAGGACAATCACTTAAGCCCAGGAATGTGAGGTTGCTGTGAGCTAGGCTGACACCATGGCACTCTAGCCCAGGCAACAGAGCGAGACTCTGTCTCAAAAAAAAAAAAAAAGTATGAAATGTGATAATCATTACATACAAAAAGTAGAATTTTATTGGAGTTGGTTTTTTGTTTTTTCAAGACAGGGTCTCACTCCGTCACCCTGGGCTGGAGTGCAGTGGTGTCATCACAGCTCACTGCGGCCTCAAACTCCTGGGCTCAAGTGATCCTCCTGCCTTGGCCTCCCAGAGTGCTGGGATTACAGGCATAAGCCACCACGTGTTGGGACTACAGGCATGAGCCCCCCCTTGCCTGGCCAGATTTCCTTTCCTTTATGTGCCCAAATCCACATGGTAACATATCTTCCCACGTTGTTTGTAATGGCTGACCTCTGCCTGCATTTCGGCTGCCAGGCAAGGAAGGAGAGCCGCTGGCTGGCAAAAGCGTGCTTCTCCGAGAGGGGTCGCCACTGAGGCCCTTCTGAGGCTTGCCAGATGCTGCCGTCCGTGCAGCTTGGAGGCAGAGGGTTTTGCCCAGGACCTTGCAGCAGGGCTGGGACATCAGTGGCCATTCCGACACGCTGCCAACACCACATTTGCCGAAAAAATGCTTTTATCTCAGCATATGTGTTATGTTTCTTCCCCCCAAACCCCACTGAGGTAAAAATTTGCTCATCCAGTGTGTGGAAAATATTCTCCATCCAACCTCGGAGGCAAACCCCGTCCTGCTGGTCAAGATGTGCCCGTCTTCACTTCTGGTTGGCAAATGTCTGGCTTCATTCTTCTGTTCCCGCAGGCAGGTGGCTGATGCCCCCGCAAGGGCACACTCCAGCAGGAGCTCTGGGGCCGGGTGGGCCGAGGGCACTGGGGGAGTGGTGGGTCCCAGCAGGCCCGGGCCTCTCTGCTCGTCCCCCCTTCCCAGCGCTGGTGACACCTCAGCCTGCCGGGGCAGGTTGGGAAGGGCCCTTGGTCTGCGTCCCAGGCTACAGCTGGTCCCCTAACGCGAGTGGCTTAGTTTTCCTTCTTTTTCTGTTCTCTGGAAGATTTGTACGAGATCAGCATTATTTTTTCTTTAAATGTTGGGAAGAATTCGTCGGTGAAATTAGTTGGATTTTTCATTGTGGGAAGTTTCTAAATTTCGGATTCGATTCCCTTTAATCGTTGTTCAACTGTTCAGATTTTCTATATTTTTCTTGTGTTAGTTTTGTTAAGTTGTGTATTTTAAGGACTTTGTCTATTTCATCCAAATTGTTAAATTTACTGGTATAAAGTTGTTCAGAACACTGTCTTATTATCTTTTTGATATTTGTAGGAGCTTGAGCTTGGTAGCTGGTATTTTCTCTCTTATCTTGGTTGGTCTTGCTAGGAGTAACGCATTTTATTAATTTTTACCCAAAAAACTTAGTTCTGTTGTTTTTCTCTGTTGAATGTTTGAT